GTGGGGTGAAATTCCAAATTGATCTATGAGCTGGAACGCAATCCCTCTTGCATTGTGATTGATGCCATCTTTTAGATACGATGTTAAACCAAGGTCTCCTCTGCCTGTTCAGGTGGAGGATAAAGATCCATGGCACTTTTTCCAAAGGGAATGTCTCCCATTGTCCTGCCCAGTAATCCTCTGGATAAAATTGCTCATTCATTTCATGTCTGTAGGCGCAAGTTGGCTGCCATATTCACCTACATCTATTTAGTCACTACAGTAAATTCTGTGAAGAGCCTTAGACATTTTGATGATGTCATGAGGTGCTATATCAAATTTAAGGATTATTTATAATAAACAAGGAGCCTAGGAAAGAGAAGGGAAAGATGTCAACTCTGTAATCGAGTTCAAGCCTAAATTTTGCCCATATAGGTGAAAAATATTTAAATGTAACAGCATTATTGTGGTAATAGATCTTCCAAGTCGGGACCTGAGCAGGGGGAAATGGTCAGGGTGAGGGAAGGGAGGGAGCGAGGAGCGGGTAGAGAGTCGAGAGGGGAGGTGAAGGCACAGTTGAAGAGAAATATTATTCCAATCAACACATTACCCTCATCTTGTAGAAGTCTGGTATCTTAGCAAGTAAGTAGTAGTAGCAGGAAGTAAGAACCAGGTTGTTCATTGATTGGAGGGGATCACTTTGTGGGGTTAATATTCCTTTACTCAAAACATTTTTTTTAAAAAACTAATAATAATAATTTGGTCAATCTCAATCCACGACTGTTTGTGGAACACTGCTGTGCGCAATTGGCTACTGCGTTTCGCCCACAAAATTTACAGTCAAATCACTTTACAGTATATTCTAGAGACTAATCCGGGATAAAATAAATTTTCACTTAGAAAAATATGGGTTAATAAGAATTAGGAGCAGGCGTAGGCCACTCGGCCGCTCAAGCCTGCTCCACCATTCGATAAGATCATGGCTGATCTTCTGACCTAACTCTAATTACCCACCCTATCCTCATATCCCCTAATCCCTCTATTTTTTAAAAATCTATCAGTCTCAGCCTTGAAAATGTTCAAGGACTGAGCATCTACAGCCTTCTGTGGTAGTGAATTCCACTACCCTCTGAGTGAAGAAATGTTTCCTCAACTCTGTTCTAAAAGGCTGACCCTTAATTTTCAGACTGTGACCCCTGGTTATAGATTCTCCTACCAGGGGAAACAGACTCTCAGTGTCTACTTTATCCAGCCCTTTAAGAATCTTATGTTTCAATAAGATCTCCCCTAATTCTTCTGTACTCTAGAGAATATAGCCCTAGTTTATTCAGCCTATCATCATAGGTCAGTGCCCTCATCCCAGGAACTAACCGAGTGAATCTATGCTGCACCCTCTCTAGGGTAAGTATGTCCTTTTTTAAATAAGGAGACCAAAACTGCACACAGTACTCTAGGTGCGGTCTCACCAAGGCCCTCTACAGTTGCAGCAAGACTTCCCTACTCTTGTACTCAAAACCTTTTGCAATGAATGCTAATTTGTCGTTCGCCTTCTTAGTTGCTTGCTGTACCTGCAAACTTAACTTTTTGAGACTGGTGTACAAGGACACCTAAATCCCTCTGAACACTAACACTATCTAATCTCTCCCCCTCTAGAAAATAGTCTGTTTTTCTATTTTTGCTACCTAGGTGAATAACTTCACACTTCCCCACATTAAATTCCATCTGCCACCTACTCGCCCACTCCCCGAGCCTATCTATATCCCGTTGCAATCTTTTTGCATCATCCTCAGAGCTTACTCTCCCACCTAGTTTAGTGTCATCCGCGAATTTAGTTACGTTACATTCAATGTCCTCGTCTAAATTGTAAATAGCTGAGGCCCAAGTACTGATCCTTGTGGCACTCCACTGGTCACATCCTGCCAATTTGAGAATGACCCGTTTATCCCTACTCTCTGTTTTCTACCCGTTAGCCACTCTTCAATCCATGCTAATATGTTCCCATTAATCCCATGGGCCTTAACCTTGTGCAATAGCCTTTTGTGTGGCACTTTGTCAAATGCCTACTTAAAATCTAAATATACTACATGTACTGGTTCCCCCCTATCTAACCTGCTAGATACATCTTCAAAAAACTCTAAAAGACTAGTTAAGCAGGACAGCCAACACGGATTTGTTAAAGGCAAATCATGTCTAACAAACTTGAGTTTTTTTTTGATGAAGTAACGGAGAGGGTGGATGAAGGTAGTGCAGTTGATGTCTTTTATATGAATTTTCAAAATGTGTTCAATGAAGTACCACATAAGAGACTTGTAAGCAAAATTGAAGCCCATGGTATTAAAGGGACAGTGACAGCATGGATATAGAACTGGCTGGGAGACAGAAAGCAGAGAGTGAACGGTTGTTTTTCTGACTGGAGGGAAATGTGCAGTGGTGTCCCCCAGGGTTCGGTATTAGGACCACTGCTGTTTTTGATCTATATAAATGTCACCTGGACTTGGGTATAGGGAGTACAATTTCCAAGTTTGCACATGATACTAAGCTGGAAAAAGTATTAAACAGTGAGGGGGATGCAAAATGATGCATTTTGCAAGGAAGAATGAGGCGAGGCAATATAAGCTAGATGGTACAATCTTAAAGGGGGTGAAGGAACAGAGATCTAAGTAAATCTTTGAAGGTTGCAGGACAGGTAGATAAAGCTGTTTAAAAAAAACATACAGGTTACAAGGCTTTATAAATAGTGGCATAGAATATAAAAGTCAGGTAGTTATGATGAACCTTTATAAAACACTAGTTAGGCCTCAGCTAGAGTACTGTTTTCAGTTCTGGAAGGATTTAGGAAGGATGTCAAGGCATTGGAGAAGGTGCAAAGGAGATTTACCAGGATGATACCAGGAATGAGGGACTTCAGTTATCAGGAGAGGCTAGAGAAGCGAGGATTATTCTCCTTGGAGCAGAGAAGGTTAAGAGGAGGACTTAATAGAAGTTTTCAAAATGATGAGGGGATTCGATAGGGTGAACAAGGAGAAACTGTTTCCACTGGCGGATGGGTTGGTAACCCGACGGCACCTATATCACGTTGTTATATCAAATGCAAGGATTATTAGCATCTTGCTCAATCTAACCATTTTCTCAAATTCATAACTGCCTGTGGATTTATCTGTAGTGAGATAATCAAAATATCAGTTATCTCACCAAGCTTGAGCCACAAATTGTTGTCCATTGGAAAATGTGTTTATTCAGTTATTAAAATCAAACTATTATTTAAGCACCCTTAACTAATAGACCCAGTGGCTGGTTCTATGGTTCTGTCTGACCCTCCGTATGATTGTTTGGGATTAATCAATTCTATTGCGTAATGCACTTTCTATGGAAATAAAAATAAAACTTACAATAGTATCATCACATCATCAAAATGTCTCAAAGCACTTCACAGAATTGACCACAGAACGTAGAAGCAGTGGTGAATAATAAATATTATTAGGTGCAATAATTCAGCTTTGTGTCTGTGTAAATGTTATTTATATTTAGATGCAAAAAGAAATCCAGTTAAAACAATGTTGAATTACAACATTTATCTCTTCATGATCATGCCTCTTAAACTGAGATCATATTAAGTTGTGTTGAGTTCCTCAGGTAGATTCCCTTGTTCCTTCTTTACTTTTTTTAGTTGCTTCTGTATGAGGTGATATTTCTGAACAATTAAAAGAAGTATGTAGAGAAGCTATACTTTACAATAAAGAAAAGTTTCAAATAAAGATAGATAATTAATTTTTCAAAACTGTTTCCGTTTCATAACATTTGCACTTTGATAACAATAATAGCATTGGTGCTATCAAATGTTACATGTGTTCTGCTCAACAATTCTTCAGTTAGTGAATGAAAAGTTAAATGTTTACATGCAGTTTTAACAATCTCTGGGGTTTTGGGGGTTAATCATGGAATCATGGAACATTTCCCAAAAGAAGGATTGTGTGATCCAGACTGACAGCCATTTGTCACTATCTGTCAGTCTTTGTTTACCATTTAAGCAATTAATAAAACCTCAGGGTCCCTGAAAACCTGACTGAAATTCAGATACCACTAAACACAATGAAATATTTGGCCTAGGTATTGCTAAAAGGTAAGCTGCTTCTTCAGTTAGAAATGTAAAGAAGCTGCATTTGAGTCATTGAACAAAATTTAAATGTAACCTGACGAGCTCACATAGAGATTTGAATATAGTTTTTGCTAATGTTTTAATTCATGATAAATGTTGCAAATATTGAACTTTATAAAATGTATCTTGCCGGTTGACAGTTGTTTCATTTAAAAATTCTGAATGCAGAGTTTATATAGAGGAAAAGAGTACTATATCAGCATTTGATAATAACTATGCGTAACTTGGGAACACAGATTAAGGGTTTTTTGTTGATGAGATGACTTTTTTTGAGTGCGCTGTACAATATGGTTTGACAGAAGTATTTCTGAAATCAAGTGGTCTAAAATGCATGTTTTGTTAAACTATAAATTGAGATGTGTGTGATGAGGCAAAAAANCTTTAAGGGAGGAGTTCTCTACAGTTCAAAGGAGAAATGCTTAGCACGAGCAGAGGCATATGTCAGCAATCTTGTTCTTGCGAAGCATAACGTAAGAGCCCTTAAATAGTTGCCGTCATCAGTCCTGGCCCCCAGCATATGGTTGTTAGAACACGTGACTTAAAATGGTGGAGGAAAGCAAAGCAGCTATTCATGTGATAGGAGTGGTCACTGTATTAAGTTCTAGAAAGTTTGTTGACAAGACAGCATGTTTCCAGTTAGGTCACTGCAGCTGTCTCTCTCCTTGTTACAATCTCTTCTTTCTCCCTCGCCCCCTCCCCATCTGCATTGCCTGTCTGTCTTGCTTGTGCACTCTCTCTCCATCTCTGAATCTCTTTGTCTTGCATTTGTACCGATACTGGACTCTTACCTGCCGAAATCCTACCTACTGTAGGCTCATGCTGAACAGTTATTGCTTTATTCAGTCTGTTTTTCTCTCTTCATCAGGCAGTGATCCTCAGAGGCGCAGGTCAATCCAAGACCTTACAATAGTTGGAACAGAATCAAATCAGGTAAAACTTTGTTTAAACATAATTTACGCAGCATCCCACTCAGCAAGAGGAGCCTTTAGAAATGCTTATCTATTAACAAGGGGAAACAAAAAGCCTGTCTGTTTTCAAGAATAAGACATATTACAAAAACTTCATATGGTATCTGACTTTCAACGTTTATTTCCCGTTTTTGTTTATTGCCAGTAAATTAGTTGTAACATCCAGTAATGAACTATTTATTCTATTGTAGTGGAAGAAATTTATTTTGAATCGCAAAACAAACAAAGGATAAAAAATGAGTAACAGAATAATTTTTGGGGATTGGTGAGTGTAGCAAAATGAAAACTAGTCAGCTTTCTCAATGCACAACAATGAGGAATTATTATTATGTACTATTTTTTTGAGATGTGTCTTAAGATGTGAAAACTAGTCAGCTTTTTATCTGATTTCCAAATAAAATTTGTTTTAAAGAACCTGATGCAGTATTTTCCTGTTTTACAAAATAAATTCTGATTATGATGTAACAGTCTTATGGCTGCATTTTCTTCTGAGACACAGCTACATTTTTCTTTTCTGAGGCCACTGTTGAGAAATCTCAATGCAATCTAATCAGCGTTCTAATGATATCCAATTTGAATTACAAGATTAGACTGTGCCTTGAGATTATGCCTTTTTTGATATGTATATAGAGAAAAAGAGAAGTATGAATGCTGAAAATATGAAATGACAGGAATCCTGAAAATATAACGTAGACCAAAGAGAAACTGGTCAAAATTTCAATCATTGATTGACCTGCTGCCCATTTCCAGTATCTTCTGTTTATTATTTCATTCATTTACTACTTGATTGTTTGAGGCAAGATCTTGAATGCTTTTTGCTAATTTTTTGCTTTTTATTAAAGTTGGTATGATTGTAAACATCAACCCAATACCCATTAGAGTTTTTCTAGATTTCTGTATAATCACTTCAAATATGTAAGTCTACGTTGCTGGCACGATTATAGAGGTTCCCATCTCTTTGCTAAAAAAAATTCTGGAGACTCACCTAGCACATCATGATACTGAAAAACAAAAATCAGTGTTCCAGAAATACAGCTACTCAAACACCAGTATAGCTTATTACTGTGATATTAACCTAAATAGAAGAAATTAAAAATCAAACATTTTTAAATTTCACCTTATTCTGCCCCCCGCTTGAGATGGAGATCGTAGAAAGTGTTGATTCTTTCAAAGCAAATTAGATATATTTCTTTTAGGAAATAATATCTTTGGAACATAGGAACAATATATACAGCTACTCTGTATACTTTGGATACAGTATATAGTCCTGTAGCTCAGTGGTTAAAGCACACACAAGCAAGAGACCTGGCGGCAAAATTTTGGGCAAGTTTCCTTACTCCACACACCTATGTTTACCTAGCAGTGAGTAGGAACCCAGTTGTTAGTCGATTAGCAGATCAGTATGTAGGAGGTACACATTCTTCACCCTCCTGCAAGTGATGAGCTTTGTAGCAAGATTGATGGTGTTACTTAGACTAAAACATTGTCCTCTTCTTAATTTCTTTTGCTTTTTATTTCCATCGCGCAACATAAGACTTTTAGGAAATGAGTGTATATTGTTTCAAATAATTTATTTTCATTAACTTTCCCATTCTGAAGTTGTATCTTTTGTTCAACTGTCTTTTTTAAAAATTTCTTTCCACTTCTTTGGTTCTGTTTGCTTAAAATGGAAAACTGTAACAAAATCGTAGGACTATACATATCTTTAAGAAAATGTACACAAGTTACATATAATAACAATCCCTCAAACACAAAACAATAATAAATTGGTCATTTTCAATCCACAACTGTTTGTGGGACACTGCTGTGCGCATTTGGCTGCTGCGTTTCGCCCACAAATATACGGTCAATTAACATTACAGTATATTTTATGAAGCGCTTTGAGACGTTGAGAAGCCATGAAAAGCGCGATATCAAATGCAAGGATTATTATATTATATTGTTCTGCTTAATAAAATGGTGTGGGCCCTTTGGGATCTAAATAAAAAGAATTGCAAAATATTTAAATAGTGAATTCTGACGTACCCAGGTGTATGTCTCTCGAACTCAGCTCGGTTGTTGCTCTCAGTTTTGACTTCCAGATTGATGCTACAGGTTTCAGCAAATTGTCTGCATCTGATCAGATTTCCAGATTTGCTATTTACATACACTTTTACAAATTTTTCAGTTGAGACCCCTTGTTTGCGAGAAGGTACTAATTTCTATCACTAAGTGATTACCATTTTATTTGCAAAGGTCAATACCAGAAAATAGATACCTATTTGGTAAAGAAATCGATTGAAGTGTATGAGAGAGAGTAATGTGGGATGATTTATTTATTACTTTGCAATCAGCCAAATGGATTGCATTGGCGTTTTTCTAGTACTGTACATGCCATTGCCCCTAAATATAAATTATAAATTAGACGGGCTTTTTTAGTAAAGCTTTTTAATTATGGTTATTCTCGTTCACATGCATTAGGGCAGCAGAAATAGCAGCCGGTCATCCAGTCCCAGTGTGAGGATGATCACTGCCACGGGAACCCCTTCCGAGAAAGCTAGCCGCAACTTCACGTGGACACCGGATGAATCAACAGGTTTGTTTTGGCTTTCTGGCTATCAATGTGTGCTCGTTGGTGGGATGAAATCGTGATGCGATACCTAACACATAAAAATGTTGATCCTAAAAAGATTTGATATTGACCTGAGATTAACATAATATTTAAGAATTTGTTAAAAGTTAAACTTAACTAAATTGTAGGGTTTTTTTTGAAAAAATCAAAGCCGTGTGCAGGCCTAATTCACTTAGGTATACCTTAATGCTTGAGAGAGAAGCTTTGGAATAATCTGAAACTTTATAGCCTTGCAAGTTGGCCCAAAACAACTGTTATTTAAAATATAGAGTCCTGTAGCTCAATGGTTATAGCGCTCGCCTCGCAAGCGACAGACTGGGTTCGATTCCTAGGCAGGGCGAAAAGTTGAGCAAGTTTCCTTACTCTGCACACCTTTGTTTACCTAATAGTAAGTAGGAACCCAGTTGTTAGTCAATTGGTGGATCGCTTTTCCAGGGATAATAATCCCTCAAAAAAATAATAATGTGGTCACTCAATCCACGACTGTTTGTGGGACACTGCTGTGCACAATTGGCTGCCGTGTTTCACCTACAAATATACAGTCAATTCACTTTGCAGTATATTCTGTGAAGCATTTTAAGACATCTAGAAGACGTGAAAAGCACTGTATCAAATGCAAGGTTTATTATTATATATGTGCCATTTAAATCATTATTCCACTGTATTTTGTGTTGCCACTGTTTTTTATTCTCATGTGTTGCTCTGCCTCTTAGCAAAAGATGAATGTTTTACAACAATGTAAGATTAGCCCTGCCAAGTTGGTAATTTAGCAGAAAAGAAACACTTCTAGGAAGTGATTCCAATTTATAATGAAATCTGATTCATTATAAATTGATATATTGCATATTGATATATTGTAAATAAACAGTAATATCTAAAATATATCCTGAAGGATTTTATTGGAGTTAATCTTATGTTGGCTGCTTTACACCTGATGTGTTCTGAATTAAAACTTACTGTAGGTTATTTTGTAGGACAGCAACAACATTTGCATAAGAGGTCAGGTATAATTTCTCTTCTCCGTGCATAATTTCAAGACGGTGGGCAGGCAAAGACACTGTTCCATGCTGTGTCCTCCCTCAGGCTAAATTTTATTTCTTTTTGGCCTCTTTATGTCATGCAGTCTTCCAAGAGGGCGGGTAGGCAAAGAATGTGTTCAAGCTTGTGCCAGTGCTGCATTGCAACCAGCTGCTAGGAAGCGTACATAGCGCAAATTGATGGCTTCAGATATTTTTATTTCTTTTCTATATCCCGCTACCCATAGTTGCTCCTCTTGATAGTCCAGCCGAGGTCAGGATCTCACCATTTTGCAATGACATTGGGGAATCCATGTTCTCACACCTTGTAACGCAGTGTTCCATTACCCTGTATCATCTTAATCTGTATATCCTACCAAAAAAGGAATCCAAGGGTGATGCTTAGATAATGAAAGCAGAGTACATTAAAAATTCCCCATCTGTTGGACAGCGGGTACAGATACCAGAAATCCACTGAAGCAAACAGCTGATCTGTTGAACTTATTTTACGTTATCCTTACCAGGCTGAGTAAGCAGCTGGCCTCTGCCAACTGGGCTTTGATAAGATTTGAACTCCGTTCCCATAAATAAACATATAAGAAATTACACACCACCTGACGCTTTTCTTAATTTATCGGAGTTAACGCCCTAATGTTTATTTTCTGCAGATACAAATGGCTCAGATAACTCTATCCCAATGGCATATCTTACCCTCGATCATCAGTTGCAGGTAAGAGCTTAATCTTTGTCCAAAGCATGTTTGGTTGATTCTTTTTGAATTCTGTAAATATTGTCTCATTTTGCCTTACCTAAACTCATTGCTTCAGTAGCTTTGTGCCTGTGTTGCATTGTAATTTAAATCCGATTCAGTTTAAGAGTATAATTCTCACTGGTGATCCAAACACCATAAGGCAATTGCATTTTAATTTTTGCCATCCGAATTATAAATTCACCACTGGCCTTTCCTGATGGGGCTTTTTGCTTGGTTTTCCCAGTATAAACTTTAAGTCGAGTACCAAGATAAATCACTGTACTTGTACCTTGAGCACCATCTTCCCTGACTTAACATCTTTTTGCATAGATTGGTTTAAAGTGTAAATGGCATAACTGGATTTCTCTGAATGCTACGTGCAGTGTTACTGTTTAATGTTTTTAACAGTTTAAATGAGCATCTTTAGCATAAGAGATGATGTCGCCAGAATATAAATGTCCTTGTATTCTTGAATATTGTTCTGGAATTTTGAAAATAGTTTTCTGAAAGTCTTTTTTAAGGACTACAGAAAACGGGCTTTACAGTTAAGACTGAATTCAATTTGCCAAATTTTGCACACTCTGAAACGCTCTATTAAATGCTGTGAAGTCCTGTAGCTTAGTGGTTAGAGCACTCGCCTCACAAGCAAGAGGACCTGGGTTTGATTCCTGGCAGGGTAAAACGTTGGGCAAGTTTGCTTACTTATCACGCCTCTGTTCACCTTGCAGTAAGTAGGAACCCGGTTGTTCGTCGATTGGTGGATTGCTTTTCCAGGGATAATAATCCCTTCCAAAATAATAAAAAATAATAATAATAATTTGGTCTCTCAATCCACGACTTAGCAGCCGCATTCCGCCCACAAAATATATAGTCAATTCACTTTACAGTATATTCTGTGAAGTGCTTTGAGACGTCTTGAAGATTTGATAAGGCATTATATCAAGTACAACGATGATTATATCCGAGACAGTTTTATGACAAACCCAGGTAAACCAGACCCCAGAGATTTATTTGTTTTCAGACTGGCTGATTCTGTTGAGCATTTAGTATTTAGGGAAGCTTTGGATTTACAGCAAACGAGTGGAAAAGCATCTCACCTCATTCTACGTATTCATATAGGATAGAGGTTTAAATAAATGCCATAATTGAAATATGCATCATCTTGAACAAATTTGCTGCTGTTCAATTTTATATCCAGTCCTTCTGTTACTTTCAATTCAAGTATTGAATTTCACAACCTGTTTTTGTTTTCTAGCCACTAGCTCCGTGTCCAAACTCCAAAGAATCTATGTCGGTATTTGAGCAGCACTGCAAAATGGCTCAGGAATACCTGAAAGTGCAAACTGAAATAGCACTATTACTACAGAGAAAGTAAGTAAAAGATTGATTTGTCTCTGCTTTGTTGCAAATGCAGCTTGTAAAAGGCAAATATTTAATTTGTTATTCATGATGGCATTAAAGTATATATTATGGGACCGTTATTAAAGGAGGACATAATTTTTGTTAGTGAAGGGGAAAATACGAATACTTTTGACTGTAAAGCGCTTATCACCTTAGCTGTACTGGTTTCATTAGCTTTTATGCATGGAGAATAATTCTTTATTAAAATATCTGCTTCATAATTGCCATCAGCCCAGCAGTTTATGAAAGCAGATTTTTTTGCTAGTTTCTGTTAATAAGTGAGCCAAAAATGTCAGAGTTTGAATAATGTTCACTTGAAGCTGTAGTATATAGATCAGTGCCTTCCGTTCCATGCACAGTAAACAGCCATACATTTTCTCAATGAAATATTTAACTGAGTTGCTCCAAACTGTCCTTCCACATTTTCTAGCCGTTTATTGATACAATGGCAGAGTGTTCCAGAGGGTTGCCTGCGCTCCACCCTATCTAAGGTGACTATGGCCAAAGAACATGTGAAGTAGGACAAGATTCCTTATTGGTTGTTGAACCAACTGAATGTCAGCACGTCCGAGGCCCTTGTAATTGGCTCGCGCCAGCGCCTCAGCACCTTGGGCGCTGGCAACATCAGCCTCCACGGCTGCACACTCAACCTCACTAAGCCAGTCAGGAACCTGGGAGTCTTGTTTGACCCTGAACTGTCCTTTCTCCCCCACATCCGCGCCATGACCGGCACTGCCTACCACCACCTCCGCAACATTGCCAGACTCGTCACTTCCTCACCCCTCAGGCTGCCGAAACCCTCACCCACGCGTTTGTCACATCAAGGTTCGATTACGGAAACTCCCTCCTCATCGGCCTTCCCAACTCTTCCCTTCACAAACTGCAGATCATCCAAAACTCTGCAGCTTCTGTACTCTCACGCACCAGGCTCCGCAACCCCATCACTCCCACCCTCACCCGACTCCACTGGCTCCCCATCCCCCTGAGGATCGAGTTCAAGATCCTCATCCTCACTTCCAAGGCCATCCATGGCCTTGGCCCCTCTTACTTCTCTGACCTGCTGACTCCCTACCAACCTGCCCACTCCATCCATTCAGCGGGCTCCGGCCTGCTCCATGTCTCCCACCCGACCTGCCCTACCATCGGTGGCCGGACTTTCAGCCTCTCTGCACCCATACTCTGGAACTCCATCCCACGGTCCCTTTGTCTCACTTCCTCCCTTTCCTCCTTCAAGGCTGGTTTCAAGACCCTCTTCTTCGATCGTGCCTTCAGTCACCCTCCCACCTCTATGCCTTCCTGCACCCCTACCCCACAACCCCCCTCCCCCCATGCCCGGGTCCCGATCCATGCCTCTCCCAGCGCTTTGAGACATCCTCCCGACATGAAAGGCGCTCTATAAATGTAATTTTGTTGATGTTGTTGAGCACTGGTTTTAAATATTTGTGTTTATTTTACTACCTATGTACCTAACTCTTCAAGATGTTCCACCTAGGAACCATGTGACAAGCAATAGTGTATAGTTGGCACTTAGAATCTACCTCCTGGATTTGACCTTCCACCTAACATTGAGAGCTCAGTACATTATTAAAAACTGAAGAAGACCGCGTTAGATAGAGCTCTTGTAGAACTGTAATAGAAATTGATCTGTTTCAACACTATAGGCTGAGCTCTGTATAACAACCCCTAATTCTTCCAATTTCTCTGGTTATAGTGAACTCGATTTGAGACCTGTTTTTTCTCCTAATTATTCTTACCCGATACAGCAATCATTGAAGCAGCGCAGTCCCTGATATAGCTATCTGCAATCAAGTCAAAATGGTGGGGGTGTTCAGCAGTCAATCACGGGGGCAATCGGCAGCTGATGGAGGGAGATCCAAGCGCCGGAGAGTGAGACCGTAGGGCGGCCACTCGTACAGCCAGTTCCCCTCATCCCATATGCCCGCTACTCATCCCCATCAGCAGATGACTGCTCACCATGTGTAACGTTCAGTCATTTCAGTTTTTAAATGTTTATAATGAACACTCGGATATAACATTCTTTTTTCCCCCAATTCCCCAGGGCTTTAGTTATACTGATGTCAGCCTGTACTTTATTATTATTTTGTACTGTTATTTTGTGGAGTTCTGTAGCTCAGTGGTTAGAGCACTCGCCTCACAAGCGAGAGACCTGGGTTTGATTCCCAGGCAGGGCGAAATGTTGGGCACGTTTCCTTACTCCACACGTCTCTGTTTACCTAGCAGTAAGTAGGAACTTGGTTGTTAGTCGATTGGCAGATCGCTTTTCCAGGGGTATTAAACCCCTTCAAAAAATAAAAAATGTGGTCACTCAATCCACGACTGTTTATGGAACGCTGCTGTGCGCAATTTGCCGTTTCACCCACAAAAGTCAATTCACTTTACAGTATATTCTGCAAAGCGCTTTGAGACGTCTCGAAGACGTGATGAGGCGCCATATCAAATGAAAGGATTATTATTTAAAGTGAAATTTAAAGTATACACGCAAGTATTGATCCAAGTACCAGTTTTGGACCAGCATCTACAATCACTGTGACTAGGGCATGTTTATTTTAACCTGGGTTTCACTGCATTTTTCTCTCAGTGTGCTTGAGCAATAAGTATTGTATTAAAATAAAATGTACAAAATGTGTTGGGTTATAAAAAACGCTGTGAACTAATGTTGAATGATATTAAGCAGCTCAGTTATAACTTGTGCAATTCAGCTCCTTTTTTTAAAAAGCTGTTTCTCTTCCCTTCTATTTATAGGCAAGAACTAATAGCAGAACTGGATCAGGATGAAAAAGATCAGCAGAATACCTCCCGACTCGTTCAAGAACATAAGAAGCTTTTGGAGGAGAACAAAAGCTTGTCCACGTACTATCAAAAATGTAAGAAACAGCTAGAATACATAAGAGCCCAGCAGCAGAAGAGGCAAGGCACATCATGAGGCATTTTTCCTGCATCCCAGAGACTTGTGCTTATTCACACAAAAGACTTGATCTTATTGGAAGATGCCCTGTTATAGATTAACTTAATTCAGTGTTTGACCTCTCTTTTGTGTTCTGGAAGCAGATTTCTATACATCGCCATAGCAGCCTTGTACATCAGACAAACTTTTTGTTTTTTAGTTGTTGTTTTGTTAAAATAGGTTAGTATTTAATTTCATTCCATGGTTATTTTAGTTCAATCACCAATTAGATTTTGAGAGGTGTATTACGTAAAATTGTGGCAATAAATTATTTGTATGAAACTACAGTTCAGTTGAGATGTTGAAGGTGGAAGGGAATGCGTAAACCAAAACAAAAAGAAGTGTTGGTCCCACTGGTTATTTTTACCTGTTCTATAATTAATTGCTCATATTGCCAGATGCTAATTTGTGCCTTAGAAGCTGGCAGTATTTGCTTTGGTCATCATGTATTAACTATTTTATATTTTATGGAGGGGTGAAGAGATCAGGACTAAAGTAAAAATGTCTAGGGCTCTATGTTAAAAAAAATCAATGTGCTCCCCGTTTTTGGTGGGTTCTGCAGTAGCACTTAACAGTATTAATCAGAGATCATCCTAACTAGAAAAGCAAATGCAAGGCATTCAACCTATTTATTCCTTACTCTTGGTAGTAGAATCTGTTCTTCCTGCAATAAGAGATACAATTTGTCTTTTTAATTGAAATACAGATGTTTGCAGTTTTTTTTATATAAATTATTGCAACTACCTTTTGATGATAGTGTCTGTCCTATGCTGCTTCACTTGGATGTGAATGATGGATCATGAACAGCTTTGAAGTTTGATTCCATAACCTTTCACCTGTGCATGATTTTTTAAACAAAAAAAGATTTTTATAACTATGACCATATGCAGGTATAGATTAAATTTTTAAGGAATGTATAATGTATAGAAAATTTGCCTCCAGCAAACAATGTTAACAGGCAACCTGAATCTGAAATAATAAGCTTCATCCAAGAAACACCTTTTTCCAACCTGTTCTACAGCCCAGTTTCACAGCGCCCAAATTCTCCCAATTTTATATGCAGGAGAATTGCAGACTTGGATGTAACTAAGGATTTGCTGAAACATCACCGTGCATGGTTATAAATAAGCTTTTCTAAATGTATTTCTCTGAATGTTGAATTAGCTGTCAAAATAACTTCTCCCCAGTTTATATAGTGTGGTGGCATCTTCCTCTGGAATAAGTCTGGAAGTCTAATTTCATCCTGTATATAAATGTAACCTAGCCAGTGGAATAATTTCAGGCTCGCCGAGCTGCACTTTATTTTTTTAACATAGAGCATGGATGTGCTTCTGAGAGATGCAGCTGGGCAAGGTGGAGTTAACAGTACTGTAATTGTTTACATTTCTATAGCATCAGCAATGGCGAAAAATCCACAAAGGATTTATTAATGTAACGCAAGTGGAATGTGGTCCCTTTAATAAATTCAGTGCCAGGCTGAACACTGTGGTCAGATGCTCAGCGAATATATAAATGCACGCACGCACACATGCACGCGCACACACAATTGTGGTGGGAGATAGGTCATTAGGATTGTGGACGTTGCATTATCATGCTTGTGATGTGAAAACAAGTATTTTTGTTATAAGAGATGGTTTCCTTCTTGAAGGATGTGTATAAGATGGATTAAAAACAATCAGAAAAAAAACAGAGATACTTGTTTTACTTCCTTAGGTCAAATCTTTACTATATTTTTTTAAAAAGTACTCCATTAAAACGATAGCTGCACTAGAAATTGGTGGCTGTGCTCGTAGATGGTTTCAAGAGCATATGAAGACTTCAGGAGAACTTCTATATCAAAATGTAACCCAATTACAGCGTTTTTACTCTTTTCGTTTTGTTCCAAGAATGCTGTGAATCAATAAATGTTCTGTATATTTCTGTAACTTGTTTTTTTTGAAACATTTAAAAAAAGCAAAAGATGCGTTGTTTTTCAAATCAAACTATTGAAAAATTTTTGTTCTGCAGCTTTTAACAGCTTGTATGAAACGATTTGAATTGTAGCTAATTCTAATAAGAAATTGTGATTTAAAAAGGTCATATCCAAGTCTGAGCAAAAGCAAAAATCCAGCAGTATCCAGTTCATATCAGATTGTCTTAAAATTGGGTATCAAATTTAAAAAGGGTGAAACAATTAACAATTAGATATTTGTTTATGTACCAATCCTGCTTTCTAATAATTGAATAAGCATCATTCTCTTTCTCCTCTCTGACCCCTCCCTATCCAGAGTCAATCAACGTAAGGGATTTTGCTCATGTCACAAAGCTTCCAACTATTCAGTCTCTTGCAAGCACTGACTGGTCACCTCACTAGATTAACACTTGTGGCATTTAGCCATGCAGACCAGGCAAAATCCCAGGTTCACTTTCTGATCTATATTGAGTAAGCTAGACTGGTGGTAGAAATGCCAAGAATCACCCTCAACCTCTCTTTGTAGATTGGGGTGGGGGGAGATCAAGGATTCTGCTCTAAATTACTATGTTTTAATATTTGATGAAGACAGAATCTGGCTCAGTTGTAATGCCCCTATTTTCCCCAATAAATTTGAACAGTCTCACTGACTGGGCTCCCAAATGAAGAAATTTGAAATTTCACTTGAGTAAATTGGCTGCCATGTTTCGCCCACAAATATACAGTTAATTCACTTTACAGCTTATTCTGTGAAGTGCTTTGAGACATCTAGAAGATGTGAAAAGCACTATCAAATGCAAGGATTATTATTATAAAGTACCAAAGTCTCGTGGGGTCGGTGCCTCTGTTCCACAGCAGAAGTTGATGTCTTCAAGAGAAGAGCGAAGAAAATTAACGTGGTGAAAAGTGAGAGACGTACAGTCACCAAAACATTTTCTTTCAAATGTCAGTGCTATCAGTCCTTTTGCGTCAGTAATTATTTTTTAACCTGACCATCCCTTATACAGTATATATGGATATAATGTGTGTATTTCACAAGCATGTGTCTGATAGATTCATGTACAGTAATTTGTGATATTGTTCCAATGTTCTTCAGCAGCACCACACCTGTGTTGATAAACGACCTGGACCAAACCTTGAACATGTGTGATCCAACAGTTCTCTGGAAGGTCTTACCTTGCCAGAGTGCAGCAATATTCATGAAGCAAAATAAAGCTAGAATATTTTCATTTCTCTACAAGGATTATTGTCAAACAGTTGTGAGACATCACCCCACTTGAAGAGAGCTATATAAATGAAAGTTCTTGAATTTCAGCTGAACTAGGTTTTGAGTATTTTTTGCATTTTATAAAGACTTTGTGTAAGTATTTTTGTTCAGCATTTTGCTTTGCTTCTCAGTCGACAAAAGACCCTAAATGCCCAATAAAAGTCAGAAAGCAAAACCCTGGACACAACCCAATCTTGAGTTTGCATTTTATTTCCCCACATTCTCACTAAGACTAACTAGATTCAATTGGCATCTATTCTTTGTGTGTGAGCAGGATTAAGGTCTTTATTTTCTACTTGAGCCTCAATGTGAAGAAAACATAAACCTTTGGATGAAAATAACTTATTTATATCCTTAGCCTCACTTGTATCTGGCCTATTCGGGATCTTTCATTGTTTTTGAATGTTCTTATTTATGATTAATTTATTTACTTTCCTAGAATTGTGGATCTATTCCTGAATTGTTACAGTATTGTCAAAATAACATGTTACTGATCTCATTTAGTGCTGATTTTATTTTAATTAACCTCCTTCAATGTGCAGAAGTAGCAGTGAACAATGTAAATGACTAGTGAAGATTTTTTTTGAAGTCATGCCACAATCTGGTGCTAGTGTTTCAATTCAGCTGAGTAACATGACACCAAATCTAAGCAGTGTGTTTAAGCGAATAATAGGGAAACCAGACCAGAATGGTAAGTCTTGAGATAGAATTAATCATAGATATGTCTACGAACACCGGTTCCAATCTAAGTCATTCATTATTGTTGTCAGATGACAGGCAGCTGATGGCAAAAGATTATTTTTATGTCTGCACAGATGTGATCAGCTGACTGACTTTAAGCAGAGTGGATTTGAACCTGCAAAGTTCCGGTCTGAATAGCTCCTTCACCTACCCAGCTAGTTCACGATTGTGTGGCAATCGAGACACTGACTTCAGTTACAATATTATGCGTCTGATTTTCAAAATCTAAATGTAATAACCAAGCTTCTTAGGACATTGTTTTATGGTTTTTGAGAAAAGTAGCCTTGTGAAAAAACAGGTTAAACGCAATCCAATAGCTGGTGTAAAACAAGCAAAGGGGTAAAGGGATCTTTGTTATATTTTGTGGTCATGATCGAGCTGCAGCTGTTTACGAATTAAAAAGGAAGTGGCTGGTTCATAACTACAGTATGTATCTGGACCTCAGCAATGTGCCATAAAACATCTTTTTTCATAGCCTCGGTGACAGACTGCAGCGTTTCTAGTTCAATGGCAACCACAATCTTCAAGCAGACAAAAACTGCATTTCTGGGAACTACAATCAAGTATACAATTTATTTTCAGCTCAAACAAAGTTTCAGTTTTACTGCATTTTTAAAGAAAAAAATGAATTGGAAGTTTACTTTCTTCAGTGAAGTACTGTACATCATAATTGAGCATTTTTCAGCAGGCTATTTCAAATGAGTATTACAATTATGTTGATTAATGAACCAAATCAGTTATTTCAGTTACTTCATATTTGAACTAGTGGGATGGTGTGTAAAAGGTTAAAGCCATAATGATCAATGGAGATGTTACATTAAGTGTATTTTGTGTAGTTTTTTTCAAAATAATGTAAAATATGAAAGATTACATAACATGGTAAGTACACTTTGAACTGTAAAAATTGAAATTACATGTTTAACAGACCTGAGGACTGATTTTTAAACTTTAATATGTGCAAGTGTATGTTAATGATGCACGGGTATTTGAATACAAATCAAATAAACCACAAATAGACCAAATAATAATCAGATTCATCATTACTACTTAATGTATCAGCCTTCAGCAGGTGACCGAGTTGCTCTAGTGGTAGATCCTACCGCAGCCTCAAGAAGTACTTGAACCACTCCTGACATCTGTGTGAATTGTGCTGTAAAACGGCAAGACCAGGAAATTAAGAACTCCCCAAAGTTGCTGGAGCTTTAATGGTTTTGTAAATTCTGCACTTATACCTACATGGATATAGGGCATCAGATTTGGACTGCCGTTTGCAGGTTCAATTCAATATTAGAAATGCTCAGCATCCCTGTTCAAGGCCAAATGTCAAAATTTAGTTCTAGAATGTACTTTCTTTTCAAAGAAAAATGGAAAGTCAAAGTTGACCTCAGGGAGAAAGCCTGTTTTGATCTTCAAGTGGGTGTCTTACTTAGTTTCAGAACTGTCTGCTTACAATTTATTAATTGTAATATTTCAAGAATTGAGTTTGGAATTGCTGTATATGGGTTACAATTGCATATCGCCTTTCATGTCAGGAGGGCGATCCAAAGTACTTGACACAACTGGTTGGGTAGCTGAGCTGGTGTGGGAAGCTGGGTTGGGTGGGGAAAAGGTAATAGAAAGCATGGTCAAAGCGGTACATTTTGAGACACGCCTTGAAGGAGGGAGGAGAGGGTAGGAGCAAGTCAGAGGGATTCCAGGATTGCATCACATCAGAAGATTAGCAATTGCAATGTTAAATACTATGTAATACATTGTGGAGTCCTGTAGCTCAATGGTTAGAGCACTTGCTTTGCAAGCGAGAGACCTGAGTTCAATTCCAGGCAGGGCGAAACCTTGGGCAAGTTTCCTTACTCCACACGCCTAATAATCATCCCTCCAAAACCAAAAACAATAATAAATTGGTCATTTTCAATCTACAACTGTTTGTAGGACATTGCTGTGCACAATTGGCTGCCGCGTTCGCCCACAAATATACAGTCAATTCACTTTACAGTATATTCTGTGAAGCGCTTTGGGACGTCCTCCCGACGTGAAATGCGCTATATCAAATGCAAGGATTATTATTATTATTACTATAAAGCTAATTATTTCTCCCAGTGTCCAGGCTAACAAATCCCCAAAATAAAATTGGTCATTCACTTTATGCTATTTGTGGGACATTGCTGTACGCAAACTGACTGCCAAGTTTCGCCCACCAAAAAAAAGTCGAAACCACTTCACAGTAACAACAACAACATGGATTTTTATAGTGCCCTCCACGCCAGACGGCGTCTCAGAGCGCTTCACAGTAACGGATCCCGGGGCCGAGCCAGGGGGAGGGGAGGAAGGTGACCAAAGGCGCGGTCGAAAAGAAAGGTCTTCAGCCGAGACCTGAAAGTGGGAAGAGGGGGTGAGGCAAAGGGAGTGAGGAAGGGAGTTCCAGAGCCTCGGGGCATAGTGGCTGAAGGCACGGTCGCAGAGGGTGGAGCGGAGGACTCGGGGGACAAGGCGGAGGCCAGACCCAGAGGAACGAAGGCAATGGGTACTGTTTTGAGGTGAGAGGAGGTCAGAGAGGTAGGGGGGTGCAGAGGAGTGCAGGGACTTGAATACAAGGGTGAGGATCTTGAAATCGATCCTCTCTGGGATAGGCAGCCAGTGCAGTCTGGCAAGGACTGGGGTGATCGGGGAGCGGAGTTTGGTGCGGGTGAGAATGCGGGCGGCAGAGTTTTGAATGATTTGGATTTTATGGATGGTAGTGGATGGGAGACCGGTGAGGAGGGCGTTAGAGTAGTCCAGCCGAGAGGTGACAAAGGCATGGACCAGAGTTTCAGCGGCTTTTGGGGAGAGGTTTTGGTGGAGATGGGCGATGCGTCAGAGGTGGACGAAAGCAGGGCTGGTGATGCACCGGATGTGGGGGAGGAAGGATAATTGGGGGTCGAACCTGATGCCTAGGTTGCGTACGGGTTAGGAGAGTTTTAGGG